GGGTTTTATGTTAGTTACTTCCTTATTTCACACTACAAAGGAAGCACTGTAGTCTTTTAAGTAACCATCTAAATGTCTTATAAATAATTCCACTTGTGTGGTTCTTGTTAGTATCAAAGGTATTATTTGCCAATCTTGTCTATGTGCCACTTTTTGGGGAAGAGGTGTCTACCATATTGCTGTCTAGTAAATAGCACAGAATTTGATTGTGAATCTTTGGAAAAATGTTTTAAAATAAGAGAAATAAAAAGTGGATAAGATTAAATACACAAGGTACTGTTTCAGATATGGATATATTTGGGTACACTAGGGATGTATTACTATTGCTGCCATGCCTTGTAGCTTACATAAAAACTTATTCTCTTTATTCAACAAGTATTTGTTGACTGCCTATCATATACAAGACTAATGGCAATTTTATATAAAACATTTCTTAATTTCATAACATAATACTAATATCTTGAGTATCAGAAGATGCACGTGGGTCTAACTAACACGTGGGAAGTATAGACTATCAACAGAAGTGTTGGTAGTCCAGTGTATTGTGTGCCTCCTGTCACCTGAGTCTCCCTTTTATTTTATTACAGTTTAGGTTGTCAGGTAGCTTTGCTACCTGTTCTTTCTCAGCTTTGTAGAGCTACATCACGTCGTTTGCTTTATGCTCCCATGCCTGCCCTCCAACCCCCACCCCATCCTGCTCAAAATTTTTCCTCTAAGTTTATTCATAGGACTAGTACTTCCTTGACTGGTGCTCATTTCTTTTTAGATTATAAAATTTTAGAATGCAGGCCAAAATGCCTATTTCATTTGTCTCAGTAGTACCTAGTGTAATATGGTCTTTTACACACAATAGTATTCCATTAGGTTTGATCTACAGGTAGTTTAAGAAGTGTGGTGTCCCCTATACCTAGGTTCTGAAATTATTTCTTAGGTTCCACGGTTATCTGTGCTATGAAATGTAATCTCTACGGCTATATACTAAACTGTTTGGCATCTGCCATGTAACAAAAGATAACACAATTGATATCATGCAACAGTGACAGGGCTAATAAATTGCCACTTCTAGTGTTCACCAAAGACCAGACACACAGTTCCCATAGCCACCGTCATAGGCTATCTTGGTCTGTACATAGAATATTTAAATGAATTTGGTAAGACAAGTTGCCTTAAATCTTACTTGGAATAAGTAAAGGGGGTCTCAAATTTAGAGAATCAAAATTGTTACATAAAAAAAAAATTGTTACATAATCAGATTTCTGAAATGGAAGTACATCGCTGAAGTATATAGATGTAGTAGTTTTAATATTTTACATTTAGCTTCTGAAAATAGTTCTTTAGTGTGTCTTTAATAGAGCACCAAAGAGAGCTCTACCCAGCTACCCAAACATCACATTTCTAAAATAGAAGTGTGTATTGAAGTACTATTTGAGTACATACACTATTAATAGTTGGTACATTAAAGTGCTAGTCAACTAACCGAACCTCAAATTACAATTGAGACCCAAACAGATGAAGATTTCCCGGAGATCAGTGAAGCCAGTTAGTAAGCCGGTTAGTAGCAGAATCTGGACTAGAAACACTTCCTCTTACCCCAGTCTTTTACACAGTCTTTTGATTCACTTGTGCTGTATATTATGCTGCAAACAATAATAGATTGTCATTATTGTAGTTTTATTCAGTCAATATTTAACATCGATTTATCCAGATACTTGCCTTGCAGCATTTTTTTTCCTGCATTTTTAACTTTCCATCTAAGAATTTTTCTTCAGTCCGAGGAATGTTCTTTAGGGTTTCCTTTAATGAAGGTTTGCTGGTGGCATTAACTTCTATTTTTATTTGCCTGAAAATGCCTTTATTTCATCTTTTTTGACTGAAATTTTCATTGGGTGTAGAATTTTTAGTAATTATTTTCTTTGAGCACCGTTGTCTTCTCAATCCTGTTTTGGTTGAAAAGATAGCTAATTGCTGCACCTTTGAGTATTTTGAATGGAATCTTTGGTTTTCCATAATTTTGCTATTTTATGTATCAGTATTGAGTTTTTTCTATTTTTTCCTTCTTGGGGCTCATTGGGCTTCTTGAATTTGTGGCTTGATATCTTTGCTCAAATACAGAGTTTTAACAATGATTTCTTCAACTATATCTATTTTTCTCTTGTTTTACAAATTTATTTGATAGACCTTCTCAAGTATCCTCTGTCTCTTTCTGTCCCTGCCACATTCTCTATCCTTTCGTGCCACTGTATGTTATCTAGATGTTTTCTTCCAGCTTACTATTTTCAGTTATTCTTTATTCTTATCCATCTAGTCAGTTCTTAATTTCTAATGCTGTACCTTTCAATCCTAGAGTTACCATTTAGTTTATTATATTTTCCGGTTCTCTACATATACTCTGAAACTTGCATACTTGAACATGGTAAGTATAGTTATTAGAAAGGCTGTGTTAAATTCAACACCTGCAGTCTCTGTAGGTCTGTTTTTTTTGTTCTGTTGATTCTCATATATTCTTATTTCTTTGTGTGTGGCTGGTTATTTTTATTTGTGTGCCAGACATTATATTTGTAGAATTGTTTGTAGAAATATGTGAAGTTTAGGGTGTTGTCATCATACTCTTTAGAGGATTTACGATTTGCTAGGGCTCTAACAGTTCACGATCACCTCGGAGATTGAAATAATGTAAGGCACAATTTAGTTTCTGCAAAGTTTGGTCTGTCTACTTTTAGTTTATTCTTACTTGTAGGGTTCTGCTCCCAAGTGAGGAGATTTATATCCTGAGAGGACCCTAGAACCCCAACTTTTGTTCTCCTAGCATTGTGTATTTGTTGAAAATACTGCTTAGTCTCCCAGCCACTCTTCTAGAATTGTCAAATGTCCTCAGAGAGAGAATCAGTCCAGTTTGGGGAGGAGAGGCAAGGTGGCAGGTCTCCTCTGTAGGTTTTTCTTCTTTTCCGAATCTTGACCAGTAAGTTTTCACTATTTTCTAGGTCTGCGTTGAGGAAATTTTTTAAAAAACAATGTTTTGTTTAGCTTTCCTTTTCCTCATTAGGAGGGTTGGCTCAAATTACCTAGTTAACTGTTATAAAGGGATTTTTCTCAAAAGTAGAAAATTGTAATGTGTAAAATGGAATATTGTTCTATTTCCTTTCCCCCCTTTTTGGTCATATTGTTTGAGTTCTGGATCAATAGGAGTTTGCTGTTCCTGGGTCAAGTGAGCGGAAATGATGAGGTTACAGTTTGCAGTCCTTTCCTTTCCTACAAAGCTTTAAACATTTGTCTGGCTTTAACATAGTTTCATTACTTTGGAATGAGGGGAAAGAAACTTTAATACCTGTTTTTTTGTTAGTTTTTATATTTATCACAACTTTGTTTCATACTTGTCCACCCTCATTTAACCATTGTTAAGGATTTTTCATTTCGGCCTTTTGCAGTAAGCGTATAACAGATGTTAAATACATGGGACTCTTAAATGGGCTAATGAATTAAACTTTTACAATATAATTTTACATTTACCTTTAGCAGTTTAATAATTTCATTTAATTTTTGTGAGTTTATGTCCTTAATGTATAATGGCCAGAACTCCCAAACTCCTTACTTGTAAGAGCAGGTGTATGGATGTGAGGTCAAGAGCTATGTGTTAATATATTTCCTAGACTCCTTTAAAATAAGATGTGAAGTCTTTAGGGACTGGTCACAGTGAGTTTCTTGAAAAGAAAAAAAATATTTAACAGAAAATATGGCAATTCTGGGACTTGATAATGAACTCATTGGATATCCATGCTTCTACCTTTATCAAACTTAAAAAAAAAAAAAAACCTCTCTGCAGGTTTAATCAATTTGCCTCCTGTTCTCAGAGCACTTTGCACATGTCTGTAAAACATTTATATTATCTATCTACTGGGACTTAACTCTTAGAGAATATTTCAGCATGTCTTTTAGGCATCTTTTAAGTGTAGACAGTACAAAAGAGTACAAATTTATAATAAATATAAATGTCAGCAAAGAGAAATGAAATGCCACAGTATACTACAACAGAAATATTAGAAAATACCTGTTAATGTGTGTGGATAAAGTATCATGCTTTAAGGTATTGTAAAGTGAAAGATTCTCATTTATCAAAGCTGATTTGACTTGGATAATGTATAAGGCTTCATATGGTAACCATTTAATATGAACCTATATAGTTACTAGAAGAAAAATATCTAAATAGTGATTACCTTAATGTTGTGAAGGATAATTTAGTCCTATCCCAAGATGTAGCCTTTTGTGTTAGAAGACTTTGATTTTACAAGGAGTTTCATTTAATGCCTACTTTGATTTGTGAATTATTTTATGTCTTGCTAGTCACTAAGCCTGCTGACACTTGATGTGAGCCATCATTTGGTCATCTTGGTGGTTTTGTAGTATAATTGGTTAAGTGTTGCCTTTAGGAGAATGACAGATTTACTAGTTTATTATCAGTGATAATCTTTCTGTATCATGTCCCCTATGTTGTGTTGTTTAAATTGAGCTCTTTTATGGCTTTTTACAAAATAGGTGAATCTCACTATGACCGCGCTCTTAAGTGTCCAATGTGTAATAGCAAAGACAGTTTAAGAGCCATATTATGGGGCAATTCATGAAGGGAAATGTTTTGTTAGATTCTGTTATACTAATTAATGGTAACAAGTTAATTAAGCATGGCCATGTTAGTTGGATTTGGTGATGTTTTATGTAAGTGCCTTTTAGGGTTGGTACTCAGGAATGCCTACAAATTTTTCCTATTGAAATTTAAGATAATTTAAATATACTTACCTGTAAGAAGGTGTTTTAGGAACAAATTTCACTTGTAAAGTTGGAAAATGATACGCTTTGGAAAAAGTTTACTCAGTATTATACTTTTGACTTTCATTAATTGAACATTTGAATTTATTTTAATTTAGTTTTTCTTGATAGTGAAATAAAACATCAACTAGGAGTACGTTATGTTATATAAAATTGACATATTTCTTTTCTTCCCAATACAGAAGCTCCACCATGAGGCGAGGTGGATGGAGAAAGCGAGCTGAAAATGATGGCTGGGAAAAATGGGTGTGTTTTAAAAGAATAAAAATAATTATATTGAACTGTTTAGGTATTTTTCATTTTTTTTTTTTTTTTTAGTTTATAATGTGACTTAAAGTATTTTTAAATTGTAAATCACTTTAGACACCAATTCTTTGAGTTTTCACAGTGTATTGAAAGTCTTACAGTGTTTATAAACTTTAACCCCCTAACTTTACTCTCAGGAATTTTATCCTGAGGAAATAAATATGCTAGTGTACAAAAATTTATTGTGTGATGCTTTTATTACATCATTGCTAATAATACTGAAAAACAAGAAAATGTAAATATCCAATTATGGAGATGGGTGAAATAAATTATCTGCATATAGGGGAACACTGTGCAGTCATTAACTTTATATTTCTTAACCTGGGAAGATAGTCTTGACAAAAACTGTGTGTTTTAAAGGAATATTATATATGATCATATTTTTGTAAAACCTCTATCCTCCGAGACATAGAAATAAGCCTTGAAAATAATGCCCAAAATGTTAATGAATGGGATTATACCAATTTTAATTTTCTTCTTTATACTCCCTATATTTTCTGGAAAAAATTTTTTATAAGGAGTGTGTAATATTTTAATAATCAGTGAAAACAAGTCATTTCCATTTTGGAAAAAAAGGTATGTACCATTTCTAGCCACCTATAGCTTTAATTTAAAGACCTAGTAATTCAGATCAGTCAAGCTTAATTATTTCAAGATTCAGGACAAGTATAGCTGAATTTGTAGATCTGTCAAGGTGTTTAGCAAAAATAATAATTTTTTATGTTCTTTGTGAGGTTGATAGTTGTCTAATGAAAGTTACTACTACTATCAAATAGATTGACTAGGTCCAGAGTTTAGCCACTGAGTTGTTCCTTGTATTCTTATCCAGTGTGTGAAAGACTGCACTGATTTGTCCAATTGCTTCATTTTACTTGAAATAATTTAAGCTCCCTATACGGAAGATAGTGGAAGCCAGTCTAAAATATGCTCTTAGACTTCTTGTAAAACTTCTAATTGGTTTAAACTTTGGTGTAACTTGCTCAATTATGTACATAAGAATCGTATTTTGTGATAATTAAGTTTATTATTATTGACTTAATTTTCTTCTTCTTTAAAAGTAACTTTTATCATTGTAAGAATGTAATAAAATTATTAAAAATTTAGTTGACAGAGAGCAGAGTCTTCCTTGACCTGCCTGTTTTATTGCCTTGCCTTGTGGTTCATGTTTAAGAAGTCTTCATTATATCTTGGTTGCTAACACAAATAAGGTCCTTTTATTTAGTTTGTTTTTTAAGTATAAGTTTCTTTTTAAAAAAGGGTAGAGGGGAGAAAATGTAACTTTTGTGATTGATTTACCTTTTCTTTAATTCTAGGGTGGGTATATGGCTGCCAAGGTCCAGAAATTGGAGGAACAGTTTCGATCAGATGCAGCTATGCAGAAGGATGTGACTTCATCTACAATTTTTAGTGGAGTTGCCATCTATGTTAATGGATACACAGGTTGAGTACTTTTACTTTTTAGGTACCCTGTTTTAGCCTGTAGTTTTATTAGGATTAAGAATGATTTGTTTTAAAATTCTGTTTTTACTTATTTATCTTATATATAAAAATGATTTAAAAATGATAAAAGAATAAAATCCTCTGTTTAGATAATCCTCCTTCATTTTTCCATGCCTTTTTTACCTGCCATTGTGTTTATTTTAATTTTATCAAAGTACATAGTTTAAAATATTAAATGAGGGTTAAAATGAAAAAACAGTGCTCTTGCTTAAATAGCTTATTGGGAGCTCATTGCACATGGGTGTTTGTGAACTGTGAGCTTCACTGTAGGGGGATCTGGTAGGGCCATTTCAGTGGTAAATCTCCAACCAACTGTAATTATCCATCGAGCCTTTTGGGCAGGGTGAGGTTTGCGTTAGATTTTCCAGGAAGGAATCTTTTAGTCTCTTGCCTGGAAAAGGGAATAAACCTACCTGCCAGCATTTTTGTTGCTATGGGGGAAGGAAAGGGCCAGAGTTCTCTCAGTTTAGAAAGTAGAATTTCGCTTAATCTCCTTATTCGTTTTTCTGTCTTCTACCTTCTCCCCCACCAGCTATGCCTGTTGTCATTGAATCCTGTATATGGAAGGAGTAGGATAGGCTTTTTTCTTTGTAATTGGGGGAAGAAATCTGGGAATTGTAATTTGCCTCTTACATGGTTTCAACCATGAACTTTCTATTATAAGACTTAACTACACACCCACTTTTGGAGGTGCCCAGTGCCTCCATTTCGTGAATTTGTCTTGGTTTTATTGTAATAAGCAGTCTCTTTTTGGGCTTCCGTATAGCCAGCTTAGATTTTTATCTTTCCCTGAACTACAAAATCAATTAGTACTTGTCTACTACTAATCAGATTTTACTCCTACAGTTTTCATTCTCTTAGGGATTTGTCTCCCTATAATCATTTTAGTGTATTTTTTTTTTTAAGTGAATGACTGTAAATATTTGTGCCAGTCTGTTATATTTTCCCTCTCTACTTCTCAACTGGCTGATACCTGCTCATCCTTCAGGTCTCTGTATGTGTCTGATTGTCTTCTTATTGGTTTAAGGTGACTTCTCATGCTCCTCTGTAGCTATAACTCCTTGAATGAATCTGTATCTTAGCTTTCATTAGATTTCACTTTAGTTTTCTGTTCATTAGACAAGAAGCAGGAGCTACATTTCATCACTGCTATATCCTCAGTGCTTTTACCGGGTATCCCAAAAGGAAAAATTTTGTAGTGAATATTTTATAAATAATGGTACATTTAGCTACAGTTTCCCATTTTCCCTGTGTATGGTGACTTTTGGGACGCCCTGTACAGTGACTGGAAATAACCATTCGGGAAATATTTGTTGAATTAAAGTTAAGTATTATTAATAATTAACTGATACATTTACCTGATTTAGTATGAATAGTGTGTGTTGGTTTTAATTAAGAATTTTATTAGGCATCACTGACAATGAATTTAGTCTAAGAATGTTCTCAAAATGAATGCTGTTGCAGCTTTGGGAAGTTCACATGCAGCAAGCTTGTAACTTTTCTGCTTAGGTATCCTGGCACATTCAAGCTCCATGGACTTCCCTGAGGTGCATGTAAAAGATTAAAAGTGCTAATAAAAACAAACGTTGCTGGAAGTCCCCAATTAATGAGGGCACCCTTATTCCTGTAAGAGGAAGAAAAAGAGATTCTTTGTGTGAGGGACATAAAAAATTGAGTGTATACAGAAATCTCAATGAAGAAGTGATCATCATATAATGGAGAATACCAAGAAAACCTGGAGAATGTGGAATTCAAACTGAGCCTTAGAAATGTCTTTATTTAAATGGAGAAAAGGGTGAAGGCGGGGAAGACATAATATGCTTCTGAGTGTATATATTAAGAATGTGTAGACTAGTGGATTTTTTTTTTAAGGTCAGGGTCTTGTTCTGTCACCCTGGCTAGAGTGCCATGCATCAGCCTAGCTCACCGCAACCTCAAACTCCTGGGCTCAAGTGATCCTCCTGCCTCAGCCTCCCAAGTAGCTGGGACTATAGGTGCATGCCACCATGCCTGGCTAATTTTTCTAATTTTTGTAGAGACAGGGTCTCACTCTTGCTCAGGTTGGTCTCCAACTCCTAGCCTCAAGCAGTCCTCCTACCTGGGCCTCCCAAAGTGCTAGGATTACAGGTGTGAGCCACTGTGCTCAGCCCTAATATTTTATTCTTGTTAGTACCATTTACACTAAGCAATATTTTGCTGCAGAGAATTATCTGATTTACATTTTATTTTCCCCCTAATAATGTGCCTTGAGCAGGTGGGAGTAGCTAAGACAACAGTGGAAAAGAACAATGAGGAGAAAAGAATTTGCTCTCACATCTCAGAACAGTGACGTTGCTTATAAAGATTTAGAGGATAGAATTTCCTGAATCCAGTTTTGCTTTGTTTTTATTTTTCATTTTCTTTTCTTACTCCTAGCCAGTATGTCAAGGACAGTCTTGAAGGAAAATGTACTGAGGGGTGGGCAACAAGAGATGATCTGTATGAGGGATTATGGATTGAAAAATTTAATGGCTTATGAGTTGAGAGCAGCCTCAGCCCTGGAGTTCATTCTTCCTTCCTGCTTTGGGATAAGAGATGGTAAAAATAATACTAATACTGGTAGTAGCTGACACATAATTCTTACTGTATACAAGGCACTTTTCTCAGTAATTTATAATTTTTAGCTCTTTTAATTCCCACAAAAGCCCTCTGAAGCTTTATTATCACCCCCAGTTTACATGTGAGGAAAATGGGGTTCTGGAAAGTTAAGCAACTTGCCTTAGGTCCACACAACTAGAAAGTGGTAAACTTGGGATTTGAACTCATTCAGTCCTACTTTGGAGTCTATACTTTTAATAATACATTATATGGCCTCTCTCATTTGTGAGTGAGTGAATTATTGCTTTGATATTTGAAGTATTGATACCACTTGCACTCCGCTTTTGCTAGAGTGGAGGACTCGAGGCAGTGATGCACTGAGGATATTAATTAGTTCAACAAATACTTAACTGAGCCACCTGCTTTGTGCCAGGGATTTGAAAGTGCTCAAGACAGACAAGTTTCCCACCCTCAAGAAGCATGTCTTTCAGGGAGAAATCTGACGATAAACAGGTAAACAAATAGACAAGGCAATTTCAGATTATTGGTGCTATGAAGAAAATCAGCTGGTATAGTGCATTGCAGGGATGGGGTCTGCTATAGGCAGTGTGTGACACAATGCGTAATTATTATGTAAATCTGCAGTTACCAGTTATGTTCTTTTGAATTATAATAAGGAAGTATATTCTACTACTGAAGAAATAGAATCAGAGAGAAATATTAACACTATTTTAAAGTCTAAAAAATCAAAATAAGGGCTTCTACCAGCTACCATGCATACCAGACTTCAGCATGCCATGCCAGGCTGTTTGATGGAGTAGTTCCTGGCTGCTGTGCATAGTGCACTGCAGACAGTTCTGTTTTTGTTTGAAAGTCAGGGCCACCATGTGCCAGTGTATGCATATTGTCTTCTTTTTTGTGTAGAGTCTAGGGCAGGAGCTTCAGGTCATATGCATTATTTGTAAGGAGTTATAATGTGATCATATTGAGTGCTTTCTAAGTGTCAGACTTATTTCATTGTTATGGCTTTATTTATTTATGAAGAAAGATGAGAAAGCCTAAAGGAGTTAAGTAACTTGTCCAAAGTCATACAACTAAGGAATGTTAAAGTCAAGATTAAATCCAGGTCAGTCTGACACCATAGTTTATGTGATCTTACCTTTTAACTAGATTGGTTTTCATGGTTCACTTCACATTGAGGAATATGCGAGAGCTTTGAAAATTGAACTTCAAAGAGACCTCTTGACTTCATCCAGTAGAAGGGCAATGAATTCTCCAGGTTTTCCAGTTCCAAATTTCTAGAGTAATTATATTTTGAAGATCAACTAGTAGAGGGGAGAGTGCATTATGAGTATGTATATGCAAAGTTAATGTGTTCCTGGCATATCTTTCAATTAAGTAGAGGACAGTCAACAATTTTCGATTTAAATCATTTAATAGAATTAGAATTAGTTTAAGAAATTCATAGATTAACTTGCAAATTAATTTTATAGATTTCTGTGCTTTTTATTGGATTTGGTGTCCACATTAATGCATTATAATCTAGCCTTTGATTTGGTACTTTTCACTGCTGTTTTATACAGTCAGGCAAGTACTTTAGTATTAGAAAAGTAAATTATAGATTCCCTTTTGGCTAGCTATTTAATATCTGCTATTTTACATTAAATCATTCTGATGCTATAGTTTAATTTTTGTGATCCTTAACCCCTGAAAATCTTCTATTGTGAATTTTGAGTTCATTTTATTTAAAAGTATGTTTTCAATTCTCTATTACACTGCCCGGTTTGGTAGCCGCTAGTCACATGTATTAAGCAGTTGAAATGTGGCTAAATTGAGATATGCAGTAAATGTAAAATACACACTAGATTCTGGAGACTTAATATGAAAGAAAGGGTTGAAGAATCTCTAGATTTTTATATTGATTACATGTTGAAATAATATTTTGGATCTGTTGGGTTAAAATACTAAAATTTTGTTTTGTTTTTTAGATAGGGTCTTGCTCTGTTGCCTGGACTTGAGTACAGTGGCATCATCATAGCTCACTGCAGTCCCAAACTCCTGGCCTCAAGTGATCCTCTCACCTCAGCCTCCCGAGTAACTGGGACTATAGGTGCACCACTATGTCCAGCTAATTTTTCTGTTTTTCTATTTTTTGTAGACACAGGGTTCTCACCATGTTGCTCAGGCTGGTCTTGAACTCCTGGCCTCAAGCAGTCCTCCCAAAGTGCTAGGATTACAGAAGTGAGCCACTATGCCCAGCCTAAAATATTAAAATTAATTTTACCTTTTTATTTTTAATGAGGCTACTAGAAAATTATATATGTGGCTTGCATTTATGGTTCACATTATATTCCTATTGAACA